CCTTGTCTCTAAATTAGAGAGACATGGATTTGACGGGTGGACCACTTGGTGGATAAGGAACCGGCTTGATGATTGCACTCAAGAGTTGTGGTCAACAGCTCAGTGTCTGAGTGGATACCTTTGTCGAGCAGTATTCCTCAGGGTTGTCTTCCTGTGGTCCCAGGTTGTTGTGAGTTACCTCACAGCTCAACTAAACTGAGGGGATAGGTGATGCTCCCTGCTTACAGGTTTTATTTCTTAGCTTGAGCAGATCTAGGGTATGTGCAGCCAGTTACCATGCTTTCCCTCCTGCAATGTACCTCCCCATGCTCTTGTAGCCCTCTTCGTCCTTACTTAAAAAAAAACATTTTTTGTGCACACTGCTGTTGTGCATAATTCAGAATTTCTGCTGAGCTCTTTGCCTCTACCCATTATTTTTATCTAGGTATGTTACAGATTTTGCTAGACTTGTGGGTTTGAAATACACAAGTACTTGGATGTCTACTTCAGTTTTTTTTCAGAATTTGAGATCTAGACTTGGGTAAAGCTCTCCTCGTACAGCACAGCTTGGAACTTTTGCTGAAGCAAATACAACATAATGTAATCTCAAAGAGCATGATATAGAGAGAAGTAAAACAATCAAAGAGTGTATGTACTGGTATCAATGTGAAAAATAGAGCCCTGAGTAAAAATGCTTCAAAAGACGTGAGCTGTTTTTTGGTTTTGTGTTGTATTGTGTTTTGTGGGTTTTTGTGGTTTTTTTTTTTTTAATTGTGTTTTGGTTTTTGGGGGTTTGTTTTGTTTTGTTGGTGGGGTATTTGGTTTTGGTTTGGTTTTTTTTGGTCAGGAAAAGTTCTGTTGTCAGAACTTGTTTTGGATTTGTTCAATTGGCCTGTTCTGCGTCTTTTAAGATAAACTTGGGATTTTGTAATCGGTGACCTTGGCACCGGAGTTTCAGAGCTCTGCTTGTTGAATGAAGTATAGAAGCACAGTGTGACCTACATTTCCATTCAGTCGGATGGGATTTGGGGTCTCACGAGATACCAGCAGAATGCTAATTTTGAACCAAGCAAACTAGTTGGCTCCTATCTGGAGGATTTGCTTTTGACTGAGGATGTTTGAGAGTATTCTTGTAAAATACTGAAGTGTCTGTCCAGGTTGATGCAAATACCTCTTCAAGTATGACCAAACCCTACCACCTCACTGTGCAGACTTTAAGAAGCTCTTGCTTGCAAAATGGGATGTAGTTTTACTAGCACTGCTATACCATGAACTAAACTTTAGGTTTATTTATTACTGAGCAACGTATTTGACACAATAGAAATGCTAATTCTATAAAAAGAGGAGCTTCTGATCAACATTAGATACGTTGTTTGGGTTGAACTTGGTAAATTGGATAGGAAATAAATGAGTAATGGGGGAGAGGAAAGAAGGGATGGAAAGGAGTTGATTATGAATAGGTCTGATCAAACAGTTCCTAGAGGAATTACGGGGAGAGAAAACAAAAGCAAGAATTCCCTTGAAAACATGTCTCTAAGTAAAAGCTAGAGAATTACATAGGCCTCAATCTTTTTTTTTTTAGTTCCTTTTTCTCTGCATTTTACTATTATTTGTATCCATGATAAAATGGAACTGACGATAACTGTATGATTGAAGGGTTTTTTTTTTTGTGGGGGAGGGATTTTTAATGATGTGAGAAAGTAGTGCTTTATGTCATTTTGTTCGCTTTACTGGACAATAACTTATTTTTTGAGGCCAACAGAGATATGAAGGGGAACTGAAATTCTTAGGAAATAGAGGTATTTCCAGATTTTCCATAAATGTTTTCAGAGGCTTAATTGAGTTACCTTTTGGAGATATGAACATTTGTTAGTTCTGCTTTGTTACTTTTAAAGGCAGCTTAGATGTGGACTTTGTCCTGATAAGTTACAGTCTGGGAGAGCAAGGAGGAAAGACAACAGTAAAATTGGCATTGGAAAAGCTGGTTGAAAGAACTGCCTTGAGGAGGGATTTAAGAAGCTGCAGAGATGAAAGGATTTCAAAAGGCAGCAAAGACAGAGATGCTTGAAGCTGAGTAGAAGGTGTTACCAGCTTCTGTGCTAGGCATCAGGCACCAACACGTAGCTCAAGCTTTGAGATGAAAAATCACAGGGCCTTACTGCAGCCCTTTTCCAAAGTTTCCCTGTGAGATGGGATGTGAAAATAGAGGGAGTGCCAGTGTCAGGAGAGGGAGCAGCTTGTGGCATACAGACTCTGCATTACCTGCTAGCACCTGTAAATACTGTTTTGGAAATTATGAATAGTTCAGGTTTTCAGAAGGATTTCCAAAATAAACTGAATCATGTGTTGGAGAGAGGAAAACTGGATTTTTTTTTTTTTTTTTTTGGAGATAAATTGAACACATACTAGCAGCCCAACACTCATGTCTTCTCAGTATTCAGTCTTGTCAGGTTCCTTTTGACCATAACCTCTTCTAGTAAGGTGCTTGGTACACAGGTTCAGCTTCCAGGCGTTTCCTGGTAGCTGGCTGCCAACCTATTCTGCTAGGACACTTTGTTCTTGTAGCCTTCCAGTGCCTTGACAAATTTTCTTGGCAAGAGCTTTATAACATGATACCATATTGTGCATAACTTAACACACTGTTACACATCAGAACATCCTCTACCGTTTAAGTCCTGAAGTCCATCAATAAGCTTAGAAGCGAGAGCAACTCCAATACTTGAGTGATTTTTTTTTTCTTTTTTTTTTGTAAGGAAGGTAGTGACTTAGTGACTTTTGTAGAGAGTCACTTTTGTCTCTACTTGTCTTCTGCTTTTTTTTTTTTTTAATGGGGTTGCAAACAGCTAGCAGCATCAATGAGGAGACTGATCAGCTAAACTGAGTATTAATTAGCTCTTCGGGTGATAAAACTACACTATTTGTGCTGCTGAAATATTTTAATCATGTTTGTAGCATTTCAAACTGAGGAGGTCAGCTGATTTAAATTATTTTTGTAAATTCTGTTTGTGCTTCCACACCTGTCCTCCTTCTGAATATATGCTTCTAGTTTTCCCAATACTTCAAGAAAACATAGAGTTTTCGGACTAGAAGCTTATAGCGTTTCAGTGTTTGATCTCCAGGTGCTCAGCAGTTATGCACTATAGGAGGTGAGTGTTTAAACTGCTCACAGGTGCCTTGCAACTAGATGGTCCTTCATCTCTGCTCTCTGTTTTGCAAAATAATTTAATAGATGGCTGGTGTTTATTTAGAAGAAATACTTGTAAAAAAGTGGTAGTATTGTACATACAGATGTCAGACTGCAGTGGGTGACATTTCGCATTGTAAGGAAACTTTTAGTTTCTGGAAGCAGTTAATTGTAGTGGATGCACATTTTCCTAGAGTAGGCTGCTTTTTTTCTAATCAGAAGCAGGAATACTCATTTGCATGTCACAGTATCATGTTGCTCATAGAAAATCAAAGTAGTATATTACCTTTAAGCAAGGCTTAGACTGAATTGACATTTCGGGAAGAGCAGGCAAGTTGGCGCAGAGGTCCTTGCAGGCTTTCGTTTGGTTTCATTTTAACAACCTTCAGCAAGTGCTTTTCTGTTAAGTAAAATTTTACTGTCATGAAAACATTAGAGATCAAGAAGTCAGGTATGCCTTGAACTTGCCATCAGGACTATGATGTGTCTTCAAGCTGTTTTACTTTTTTGGGGGAGGCAGCAGTTGAAGTTTTTGGTTTGGGGTTTGTTTTTTTTTTTTTAAGATATCCTATGCCTGATGTGAGACTCCGTGTTTGTCCAGTAGTGAAAATGCTGTCTCTGACTATCAGTCAACTTGTTAGGTGACTCTCACCTGATAGTAAAGAGAAGTGGTTAGATAGTGTGTGCAGAAGATGATGTGCTTGCATCAAAGCGGCGATGTCTTTGCTTGGTTGGAACTAGGCATGGCCCAGGCTTGCACAGGTTTTCCCTGTGTTAGCCCAAATGTCAAAGCATGTCTTACCCAACACAGTGTCAAAAGACGCAAAATTAGTGTTTGTGACTAGGATCTCATGTAGAAAGTGCAAAACATCTTAGAACTTCGCTGTTCTGAGATGGGTGACAGTAACCACAGTATCTTGAGTATCTTGAATAGTGCAAACTTCTGATTAGGGTTTTTAAATGTTGGTGGTCGAATAGCTGTTATTTCAGCTTCATCAATGATGAAAGAAAGATTAACAGTTGTGGTGCAAGTCTTGGGATACCCTTGTCTGTGATGCTTGTACTGAGCTCTTAGTGCTGGTTTCTACATGCTTGCAGCTCTCTGTGCTGCAGGTTGGACAGAGGTGTCAGTGTTTCAGTGGGTTTTTTTCGTTGTTTTATTGGGGGACAGGGGTTGTGTGTATATTCTGCAATGCTAGAGGGGTGTACTTAGTATGCATCTCTCTGTGTTGCTGTGGTACAAGCAATCTTCACTTGCAGATTGGAATATAAGGCATTTCTCTGTCACAGCATTTCTCTTACATATGCCCTTTAAACAAACTAAGAGCAGTTGATTATTTTTCTGTGCCTTTAGCAGTAACAGCTTTTTGGATTTATAACAGGTATTTTATTTGTGTAAGACTTGACAGAATGCACACCCTTAGCCAAGAGTTTCTTTGTTCACCATAACAGAGAGGCTGGTAGGTAGAAAAGCAACTCGGGTTCTGATGTTTCAACTAGGAGGCATAAGTCTTATCAGCCTTGAACATCAAGTAGTCTCTTTAAAGAGCAGTATGGTATACCTAAGGGTAAAATACGCTCATGAGTAAGAACATAGGTTTTTACTCACACAGTTCTGTGAAAAGTGCTTGTTATGCCATGTGTAGGTATATGGAAACAAGCAAGTATGCGTTTGTGTGTAAGAAAGTTGGGCATTTTAATTCAATTGGTATTTGCAATACTTCTGGGCTATGGTTCCGTACATCTTGAGTCACATATGAGATACAGATGGAGGCTTCTATGCTTTGCTAACTTGGACATGTCTCTTGTTTTCTTTTTTTGTGTCATTTTTTCTTAGGGTAATAAATGCAGGGAAGAGCACACATAATGAAGATCAAGCCAGCTGTGAAGTCCTCTTTGTCAAGAAGAAAGCTGGAGGCACTAATTCTACACCAAACAAGAACTCAGCAAAACGGAGGTCGTCGCTGCCCAATGGAGAAGGTCTCCAGCTGAAAGACAATTCAGTAAGCAGACTTCTGTATCTTGCCAGTGTAGAAGTACAAAATAAATATTAAAGGATGTGACAGTATGACACTAAAAGATGTTTGCTGAATGTTTCATATACTTTAGTTACCTCTTATTAATTATCTCTGCTTAATTGCAGAACACCTAACTATACTTTTCTTAGCTCCACTTGATTTTTGATTTCTTGCATTGAAAAATGCTCCTTACATCCAAGATATTTTAATTTAAAAATGGGGAGGTGAATACCCCTTGGATTTTCCTTTTAATTTCATTTCTGAAAATATAATCCTGAGAAACTTACTACTGCAGAATATTGTGAGTTTAATGGGTGTGGTTGACTTGTCCAGTGATGGTCACCACAAGCACAGCAGTATCACCATTTATACAGTTGTACAATTTTCTTAAGGGTTAGGCAGTCATTTGGGTGCTTTTCACTGCAGCAGTATTGCATGTAACAAGGCCGGTTTATGCAGGCAGGGTGAGGTCATCCAGCACACTGAATTAAATGATTTTTGCGTACTGTGTCTCCTCTCTTTATGTGGAGAGTGATGTACATCATGCACTTGCCTACTGGCAATCGTCTGCTATTCATCATCTGTTTTGTTTCCTGGCTGGCTAATTACCTCATCTGCACTTTAAGCACGAGCTCAGGCTCCAGCAATGATTGATCAGACATTGAGCCATATAACTCTAAATGCCCCATCTGAATGTTGGAGTTGGACACTGGGGACATGCAGTCATTCTGCTGCTTAGGAAGAGCTTATGTTCTCCTTAAGAGATAATTAGTCTTTCAGTGGACTATATGTATCCTTTTTTGGTATTTTTGTTTTAAACTAGGTTGCGATTAGCAGTCTGCTTCAGTCTCTCTCCCAAAACCCCATGGCTTGGTACACCTGATGGCTGCAGGGGTCATTGGAGCCATGAGCAGCAAGCACTCCTCTTGCACTGTGTCCCTCCCCACCTCTTGCATCTCCTATTCTGTTCATACTTCATTGTTGCTGCAACATTTTCAGACTCTGACAGATTTTTCCAGGTTTGCAAATAGCCCTGTTATTTCCTCAAATCTTTACCTAAATCACCTGTCACAGTTCCTGCGTGCTGATATTCCTCATTGTATTCAGTCAGTCATAACTTTTTTCAAATACGTAGTTGACCACTCCTGGATGAAGAATTGTGCTCTAGGCTTGCTGGGACTAAGGAGTTCTGCGTACACTCACGCAAGGCAAAACAGAATGTGTTTTAATAGTCTGCGTTTTAAAAAGTGTTTCCTAGAAAGCCCATGCAACTGTCTGCTGTTGGCTCATGCAGATGCTTGGTTCCATGAGCGTATTTATTTTTTGTATGCATTATTTATGGTTAGTAAAGCAAGCATTTGGCCACAGTACTTGTTTGTGTGTATAAACCACATCAAGATACGCTTCTTTCAGGTGATGGGTTTGTTGAAACAAAGTGCATCACTGTGTCGGGCACACAGTATGCTCTGAAGACCCCTGTGCAGATACCTGCGTAGACAGATCTTGGTGCTGTGCAGAGGGGCTAGCTGTGACCTAACACCACGTTTAATTTTCAGGCCTACCGTGTGAGATACCTGGCCTCTGTACCTGGGTGAATGTAGCTGTACTGAATTTGTCTATGTTTTCATATTTTGGGGGCATGCATGGGGCATAAAGCTTTCTAGGAATATTTCACAAAGTCCAGTTAACTTCCAGCTTTGAGGAGTATCAGATGCTTCTTGAGAGCAAAAGGCACACTATGTTGTGTATACTATACTGCATGATTAATCATCTTCCTCAGAAAGATCTTTTTTTCCAAACATTACACAATTAATATGTTTAGATTGCATTAAAAAAACAGGAATAGAAAATTACTTCATATTGGAAAGGTTTCTTCACCAGCCTTGCTGGTATCATTCATTATGGTCAGCATACTGTTATGATGTCATAACAGTAGGGCCTGTAAACTGACTGCATATTTTTGAAAGCTGTTCTTTTTATCTATTTTAAACGTAATGATTGTTGGCTTTGTTAAATATCCATTTGCTCTGTGTTATGAGAACAAACTTGTAGAATTTTCTGATTTCTCTTCTCCTTTGCATTAGTGTGTGTCCCACTTTGATTCTGGTTCTTGTCTCTCGATTTTTGGAATAAACAGCCACTCCCTTTCAAGCTTCTTGGGAGAAACATTTTTATTTCAAATCCTCTGTTTTCTGACACATTCTGACCAGAAATGAGCACGGTGTCTGAAGTGAGGAGCCAGCTAGGTGATCTGTGTAATATAGAGTAAGGTTTTCATGCTGCTTATTTTCTTTATATGTTCTCTTCTTATCTACAGATTTACTTCTGTTTTCTACATGACACTTTAATGAGTGCTATAGCAGTCATTATTTAGCTGTGTAAAACCTATTCTACCATGTTATCAGACCACAGTGCATGAATTTAAATTTGCAATGTATTTTCTCAAAGCAGGCAGCATATTTATGGAGAAAGTTTTCTACTAGAGGGCAGTCTTACACTAGCAATTAGTAGGATTTTTGCCTTGGTACATTTCTTTTAGCTGGTTGAACGTATTTAAAAAGGAGAAAAAGATGTGCACGTTAATATATCATACTTTTACATTTTCATATTTTTATACTGTAAAGTATAATATTGTGGTTTGTGCTCACATAGCCTTGTTAGCAGCTATTTTTTTATGGAGTGTATGGGTTGCTATTAAATCTGATAAGGGTGCAATTTACTCTGTATCAATAGAATGTAGAAATAGAGACTTGAGACATTCCAGTGAATGATATAATATCATCCTGGCAATTATTTCATAAGAGAGCCAGAGGTTGAATTCTGTAAATGCCTCCTAGGGAAGTCCCAGCATCTGAGTGGTGAAGCACCTTGTGGAAATGTTGAAGGAAGAATGGATGAGGGAAGCAGTTTCTTGAGTATTTGTCCAATGAAAAGAAAATGTTATTCTTGTTTAGTTTTTTAAAGTGTGGAGCACAAGGGAAATAGGAGCTGGAACTTAAAGTGTCTTTTAATTTAACGGAGTCCATTTAGTTGTCCTCGGTTTTTTTCTCCTTTTGTTTTCTTCAGATTGTTTGAGAAGGCCACATGCTATCTTTGTTTTACCCTGCTTTCTTGGAACTTTGTGACAGTTAAATGGCAGCTTGATGTGAGGCTGTGTTATTATTGTTATTTAACGCTGACCCCATCAATGCAGCCCCACGCTTTGGCAAGGCAGCATAAAGGAGTCGAAGATCCACAGGTTGTCTGTGTGGGTTGGGTGCTGCTGTCATGGCCTTGACTCTGTGGGTGGACTCTGGAAAGCTTTCAAGGGTGGGAAGAAAGAGGTGATGGGGCAGAAGTGAGGAGATGGAGAAGTGAACATTTCTTCAGCCCCGACACACAGTAATCCAAGGAAACCTGTTAAATAGCAGAAATAGGTTTTTCTTCTTGAAGGAGCAGATGATAAACTGAGCAAGGCAGTAAAAGAAAAGGCTCTTCAAATTCAACCCCTAAATTAATTCTCTCTCCTTTCCCACATGCTACTCCACTGCTGCTTGATTAATGATGTTTGCCCTCTGTCCCCATTCAGGAGCAGTCACTTTGAATTGCACAGCTTTTTCACAGGTGCTGTTCTTACATGCCTTGAACTGCTGGGTACCTTGCTGATGAATACTGAAGACCTTCAGTGAATGAAAGGGGACTCCTATGCCAGGATGTTGTCATAGTGACAGCCAGGTTGCAGGACTTAATGTGATGCATTATTAATTGTCATTGTAATGTGAAGATCCACAATTATTAATTCTGCCTTTTTCTTTGTCACAAAGATGGGATGGAGTATTTTGTTTTCAGTGACACAAGGCTGGTTGCCTACCACAGGTAGCTGAACTTATCCTTGGTAATATGACGAAGCTTTTCTCTGAGGACAGTGTGACAGTTGCTCACCCACTTCCAATTTTGAGAACTAAAGATGTTCTCTAATGCATTTTGTGAGTGTAATTCATATTTGGAACAATAATAGTTGGGGTGGGTTGTGGTTTTCAGAATAAATCTTTAGTGACAATATGATTTATTTGCCTGTTTGGAATTAGCTTCATTAAAAAAAAAATCTAAAGGTTTGCAGTGTAGAGACACTGTCGAGGTTATCTAAAAAATTTGTCACAAAATGATTGCTGTATATTGCTAAGGCTGCCCAATTTTTTTTTCCCTGTAATTGATCCCAAATTATGTGTGTGCATATATATATACGCATTGTCTTTCCTGATTTCTTATCCATTGCGTGACCCAAAACTTTGCATTCATTAATTATATTTTACAATGACAAAACCCAGAAGGCTACTGAACCTTCCTGAAAGCTAGGTCAGCAGTTGAGGAGCCTGAAGCTTATTAAGTCTCCTAGTGCATACTGGAAATGAATTGTAAGGTCAGTGCATTGAAGGATCTGTTTGCTCTTCCTGTATCTGGTAGCTATTCAGAACGTTGTTAAATCTGAATCTTTTGAAAGAAAATCTAAAATCACTATGTTGACTGATCACACCCCCACTTGAGGACTCTGTCCAGTTAAAAGAACAAATGGAGATTGATGTTTGCAAGACTGATTTTGACAGAGTACTGCCAGAGCTAGTAGAGTTTGCAGAATGTCAGTATTTTTGGGAAGTTCAAGCTCCAAAATGTGAAAGAGAGAACAGCTATGCGTATGCACACCAAATTAGGTATTCACTTGGTGGCTATGGAGCTCATCTCAGCTGTGAGGGGAAAAGCAAGGATCTCTGTGCTTTTTGTCTCATGTCTGTGCCCTGACTGCCAGCCCTTGTTTGTTCTCTGAGTCACTGCTTTCTTTGCACCATATATTTAATTCTTGTCAAATTGGTATGGTTTGGGAGAATTAATCTCTTTCAAATAGAGGAGCCATTTTTATTCTCAGGGTGGAGGAAAGGAATTTGTTTCTTACTCCTTTTTTAGACAGCTAATAGGTTATTCATGCTTATACTCTCTTTGCTAATTCAAAAGTAATAGAAGCTTTGTAGGAATACACAGAAGTTTTTGGAGACTAATATTTAGGTTACAGTAATGCCTGCAGATTGCAACTGAAGTTAAGGCCCTAGAGCATCTCACACAGAACAGGTGTGTAAGAGCAGCGTAGTGGTAGTCATTTCCCCCGACTGTATATGCTTTTAAGACAGACCTCTCAGTTATTAGGGTACTTCTGCAGTTGACAGGGAGAAATACATCTACTTTGGAATGAGATGAGCATAGCCTGGAAGTGTGGATTTTTTTCTCTCCGCTGAGTCTAAGGGCAATTTACAGAACTGTCTTGGAGGTGTGCAATGTAGGTGTCTGAACTTAGCTGACCTGGTAGTAACACCCTCGTGTTTAAGAATTACTCCTCCAAAAAGAACAAGATTGGTGAACTACAGAAGAACCACCATAGCTGATGTCGCCGTGCCGAGTTCATGTCAGTGACAACCCAACAATATAGCTCAAGCCAATGTGAGCTTCTCTGTCCTAATTTGTCTTGGAGGAAATAAGTGGTTAACATTTCAATTTCACTTTTTTGTCATGGGCTATTGTTCTGGTCTGTTTAAAGGTTCCTGGTCTGTGATGGCATCTTATTTGAGTACCAAGTTCACATGAGGCTTGTTGGGGATAGGGCGATGTATCCAGTGTTTGACTCATCATAATGAGTGAATTGTGTTAATAACTATTGTCCTTTATCTTCTGAAAAGCTCTAATACAGACTTTGGGGGTTTACTTTAGGAAACTTAAGTGGATGTGTGTAGGTTAAACTTTTTCTTAATTTTAAGTTTCTGTTACAGTTTGAGGACAGGGGGAGAGGGATAACAAAATACCTTCTTCCTCTAGGTGAAAGGTAAAATATTTCCATTTCAGTTGGAGGTGTAATGCCTTTATGCTTTTTCTTCTAAAGGCAGCACATCTCCAAATGAATAGCACCTTCTGAATGACAAGGGCATAAGCTCTGGGAACATAATCTATGGTGCATCGTAAGGTGAATTTTGGCTGGGGACCCAAACCCTGAGAGAAGAATAGGAGCAGAAATAGTTTGATCTACAGCTCCCAGGAGGTGGAGTGTTGCCATTTTGAATAAATGGTTTCAGTTTTTAGCTGGAATACTTTCACTTTGGGATACTTGTTTCTGTTGGCAAAATACTTTATATTTTGCATGAATACCAATCTATTTTTACAAACAGGTTTTTTAGTCAGTAATCCTGTTATCTGTTAAAAACGGTTTAAGCAAAATTTTACAGCCAACTGTTGTGTGAACTTGGAGGGATTCTGAGCCCAGAGCAAGCTAGCACAACTGCCAGTCATGCCTTCAGGGGTGAAGTTTCACAACAGGTTTTTTGGTTACTTTACCAGATTGGGTAAGTGGGTGGGTCTGGCTAAGGAGCCGCATTTGGAAGTGTGTACATTTGTTGTTTTTTCCACCATTATAGGATGTATCCTGTATGATCCTTACTGCGGCAAGTAAATCAGTACTGTAGGACAATACTCCCTTTAGTTAGCATCTTAGTAATGAAATGTCGGGTGCACAAGATTGCTGAATCCTTTCTCCTGGAGGACTTCTCTGCTGTGCAGATGACTATACTGTTAATGCGCTGGTTAAGAATATGTTTAAATTTAACTACAGCAGCAGTGCTACACGGTAAAAATCAAACAGACTTTTCTGTAATTTTTATAATCAAAGCTTGAAAATGTGCGTTTCAACAAAGTAAGCTACGTGTGAAAAGACTTGTTCAGTAATGAATTCTGCCCTTCGAAGTGCATGAACTCATAGCGATGGTCTATATACATGTTGCTGAAAGAGACATTTTGCATTAGGTTTTGGAATTTGTAGCTGGGGCCAACAATGAATGATGTCTTTTGGATCTGCAAATGACAATTCATGGTGTTCTTACTCCAACTTGTCTGCCATGTCCTACAGCCAGTGGTTGGCAGCTTTGTGGAACAGCTGGAACATCAGAAAGTAGAAGGAGCTGCAGCTCACAGCCCTGCCCATAAGTCTGAAATAAGCATTGCTTTGGGCATGAGGTGGTGACTAGACTCTATGCTGGTATGTTGTGTAAGGGCGCAGTGTTGGAGTGAATGGAACAAATCACGTCTGCCATCCTCAATTAGACCGCAGCCAGATATAATGTCTAAGTGCTTTGACTACAGTGAGATCTAGGCTATGCTTTCTTAGTATGAGGTGTTTTGCAACAGTATTGTCTGATTCCTGTCCCTTGCAAAATGATTTATTTCTAAATCTGTATTAGTCCACTCACTTCTGATTCCCAAGGCAGACCCACAAACTTACGGTCTCTCAGCCGTGTTCCAGCATAGCTGGGAGAAGGTGCAGGAATAAGAAGAAATGAAGGGGAAAGGAGAGACGTTGCTGCCAAATATGCTTTCATGCGAAGACAGGTATTGTTATGCTTTAAATGCTTTAAACACTTCCATGAGGAATTCTAAGTGAATTTCTCCAAAAAAGAAAGTTGAGGTTATCTAGGATATGGCTCCTTGTTATTTTTCAGGCAGATTGTAGCTTGTGCTGCCCAGAACTTAGTCTGCCTCCAGCCCTGGATTAATGGGCCTTATCTGAGTGACAGGACACCTCACCACAAGAAAACAGTTTCTGCTCAAATCAGAGTAGTAGTGGAGCTACACCCGTCAGAGGACACTGCAGAGCAGAAAGGAAGAAATATTTGAAAACCACATCACTGATCAATAACTGCTGAACAAACATACAACATTACCGCATACACCTTAATTTTAATAATGAGGTCTACAAAATGTACTTTTTCTGGATGCTCTGCCTGTATGATAACAGTTGTGTTGACCAGCATGCTAGGAGTTGATGTAAGATACAAGATCTGAAAGCATGCTATTATGCCAAGAGCTATATCCAAACACTTGTATAGCTGTTCTTATCAGGGAGTATGTAATGCCAGTGCTGTACAGGAAACACTTCAGAGGGCAATGAATGTGTAGGCTAGCATGCGTACAGTGCTGCTGATCCCACTTGTGCCTGCCATCCTCCAGGACCTCTGTGCCATACTGGTTTCTGGACTGGCACAGGCAGGGAGAGCCTGAGCTGTCCCATCTGCCTACATGGATGGACCGTATCTATCAGTCAGGGAAGTGGGGAATGTGTCTTGTTACTAGATGTCAAACTGAGGTCCTTTGGCTGATGCCTAGTGAAAAAAAACGTCTGTCACAGAAGTATCAGGTGCTGTCTTGTGTAGAGTTTTGGTCTCCATGGTGGTAGGTCCATCATTTATCAGTGATGTGATTTTTCAAATGCTTTCCTTCTGATCTACAGAGTCATTAGGAAATTAACTTATTCTTACAGTGGTAGCTGTGCTTGTTCAGGGCATCCTATGATGGCTGTAAGGTGAGAAAGGTTGCAAGTTCAGCCTTTTCTTATTATTTTTTTCTGAGGGGCTTAAGGAAAAGAAAAAAAATAGCGGAGGTGTGTGGCAAAAATATGCATCTCCTTCCTGCCAGAGCTGTACTAACACAGTGGGTATTTTTCTATTGCAGAAAGAAGGTTATCTCTGGGAAAGTTGCCTGTGTTTTACCTGCTGCCTTGTGCCGCTGGCTTCTCCATCATGTCACTCATGGCTGTGTAACAGTGACCATCTCTTTTCCTTCTCTTTATTCCTCTTCTGCTTCTCTAGGACACAGATGGGATCAACCTGTACTACTGGTCCCTGTTTGATGGACATGCTGGGTCAGGGGCAGCTGTGGTTGCTTCCAAACTGCTGCAGCACCATATCCTGGAGCAGCTGCAGGAGATCGTGGACATCCTGAGGAACACGGCGGTCCTCCCTCCCACCTGCCTGGGAGAGGAGCCTGACAACCCAGCCACTAACAGCAGGACGCTGACACGGGCGGCCTCCCTGCGTGGTGGTGTGGGGGCCCCAGGCTCGCCCAGCACCCCTCCAACACGCTTCTTCACCGAGAAGAAGATCCCACATGAGTGCCTGGTTATTGGGGCCATAGAAAGTGCTTTCAAGGAAATGGTATGTATATTTCAGGGCTTTGAAGTCCATGTTGCATACATTAATAAGTCACATAACTTGGAGAAAATGAACATTTAGGGTTTTTTTTTCCCTACTTAAACACCATCTGAGCATAGACAGAATCATTTAAGAGCCACAACAATTTACCAGGTACATCCCTGTGAGGTAGGGACTGCATCTTAAGTCGCAGGCAGCACCGCAGCCACATTTGTGGATTTCTTGACTCTTAGAAGCTTAGTGTTCTTTCTTCTTTCTTCTTGTTTGATCTTCCTCCTTTATTTTAAAGTAAGAATTAGTACTGCCTCTCAGTAGCAGATTTCAGCACTGGCTGTTATCATAAGTCTTTGTATATGGTCATGCCCTTTACGAAGCCTTGTTGCCCTACCAGAGCAGCAGCAAAGACTCTCAGCATTCCTTGCATCACAGACCCTTGTTTTTCTTGCCCACAGCTACATAAATGGGTCATAAAAGGTCACATCAGGGACATGGATGAGGTGCAACATCCTTGATGCAATGACCTGTAGTTCACATTAGTGTTGTGGTGGCTAATAAAGCACAGTAGTGACTGTAGAGAGGGCACGTGCCACTCTTGCCTGACTGAGATTGGGGGTGGGTGGGACATAATGTAGGTTCCTACCACCAACCTGACTTGTGTACAGCATGAACAACTGGGACCCTGTGGAAACAGAATATCCGTCAATTTCCCTGGGGAAGGCTGTTCGTTCTTTTTTGTAGTTGATGTAGCTGCTCTGCATCTTCCCCCTTCACTTCTCCGTGTTTTTAAGAACAATTCTCATCAGGCAGAGCAGAGGCTTGGCCTGCTAGTGAGTACATTTGGGTCAGGTCTTGAGAGATCTGATCTTTTTCAAGTTTTTTGTTGTTTTTCGAAAACCTTCTGCTAAACAAGAGGCTTTTCAAACTAATGAGTGTTTCCCAAAGGTTTTATTTGTTGTCCAAAAAGAAGTATTTGATTGTTGTTTTTACTGACATATGTGAATTTCATTTAGTACATGCATCTAATTAGAGACTACAGTTGTTATAACAAAGTGGTGCTTCACTTCTGAATTCTGAATAGCAATTATCTTGATGGATTTTCCTTTCTCCCTAAGGAAGTGCAGGCAAACAGACCCACTAACTAGGTTTGGACAGCATCTGATTTCTAGGTGGGTAGGTCCAGGAGCAGGAGCCACAGTCGTGGCTTAGGCATCGTTCAGTGTGGGGCATGCAAGCACATTTATGTTCTGCGGCTAGTGGGCTTGGTTTCTGCTACCTGAAAAGAGAGGAGGACACGTGAAAATCTCCTGTCAGTTTAGCATGCCTTTTTCAGAAAGAGAGGACAAGCTTACTCCCGTCTTTGTATGGAAAGGAGGGAGAAGATGACACTGCCCATCCACATCACCCCAGTGGGTTCAAAGCATGCTTAAGTGAGGAACACCAATTTCATGCGTCAGTTGAGGTGATTTTCAGGTCATGATGTGAGACCGTGAGAGAGAGCATGATGTAAGTGTCTCTCTCCTGTTGAAACTGACTCCAAGTGCAAGAGAGATGAGAAATGGGGTTTCATGGGACTGGAAAGTAAAGGTAAGAGAGCTAAAGACAGGCTCTTTCAAGTGCTCTACCTTTCCTATGAGAGCAGCATGTGCGTTACCCATTGCTGCCTTCCTGAACATGTCTGAGTGGGCAGGGCTCTTGTTGCCCTGCTTTATTTGAGTTCACACCTCTGGTAGGTGTTCACATAGATGACCATCTTAGCTCATGTCCAGGCACCTGAGTGCTTGGGAGGGCTTTTATGGATAGAGTATGACAAATGGAGAAACCCTAGATTACAGGTGCTGTGTCTGGGTATTCCATGTACAAGTCATAGTAATCTGTTCTCCCTTTTTCTAAACTGAAGTCCAGGGAATATTTTATTTTCCTCCCCCTGTCTTTGTTCATATGCTACAGATCAGATACTTTAATTCCCACTTCTGAAGTTCAAGCCTTTGCTATGTAAATGACACTTTGTCTACCACAATGGAATATAATTTCAGCATTAAGTTTTACATTAAAAAGAAGCCTTGTAAAAATGGTCAGATTAAGAAAAGCAATAGATAATTGTATCTACTTTAAGCTCGGCAGCATCAGTAGGGTCTTGTGCTTTATAATTGGTTTGGGCAAGAGTATTTTCTTTAGTCCGTGTAAGGGAGTGGTTTATAATATCAACAGTCCTGAGTCTCATCTATGCTTGCAATGATTGATCTTCTTCGTAGCTCTAACTCCCTGCTAGCTTACACTGCTAGTAGTCTTTGGCTGAAGATTTTGGGCTTCTTCCGTAGCACTTTGTTTATTCAGCCCTATTTTGTACTGGAACGTCATGGATGTTGTTGAGTTAGGTCAGTGCAGTTGAGATGTGCATAATATAATGAGGGTTTGTGCCGGCAGAGTGTATCATTTTACCTGGCACTTGGTGAAAGCTCATGTTCCTGGACGTGCAGGCAGACTTCTTAGTGGTGTTTCCTGAAACACCTGTTGCTGCAAAGGAGCCCCTTGAACCTGGTGAAAATGCTGAGTAGATACAGATACTTCTTTTTTGTTTGTTTTTAAACAGTCCACCCTGACAGGCTTATCTAATGATGGGTTTGTCCCCTTTGCCTGGGAGCATTTTGCATACTATTACTTTTTCCCCAACTGCCTTTTGAATTCTAGTTAAGCTTTCCCTGTTTTTTGCCTCAAGTCTCAATTAAAATGCAATTCATCCCGTTCAGAAGGCTTTTTAAAATTATTTTTCTTTTATTGGTGTGCTTTCTTTTGGACAGTGCTTGTCTGACAGGTACATGCAGTAAAACATTGTGGAAGGCTAACACAGACCAAGTAATTACCTAACAAAAATTTAACAATTAAGCTGCCCCCTTTTTGAGGTACTTGTAGATGGTATTCTCTATGTAGGGACTGGGATTAGCAAATTCGTGTTGTGTTCTCAGATAATTTACTGTCCCATTTAAAAAATAAGAAATGCTTAATATCAGGAGTTGTCAGTGACCACAATTATTCCAGTTAAATGGAAATAAATAAGCTTAAGTTCTGAAGGTATCATAAGTAAAATCCTTTAATTTTTATCTCTTGAATTTTAAGGTGTGCATTTATAGATTCAGTTCTAGGAACAGAAAGGATGCCTCCAAGTGCTCTTCTGTACTGGATAGAAGCGTCAAACTATAATTCCTCCCCTATATTTAACTTTGTGTGCATGTGTGATGTAGTATGTATTTTAGAGAAAGATTAAGGGGAGAGAGCACCTATTCCACAGGGAAGCCTGTTTAATTTTGGATGGGGAAAAACCAGCACAGAAGTAGTCTGATTTATTGGAAAGTAGAAGTTTGAGTACGTTGCCTCATGATTTTTTGACTTGGATGAAATCTAGACAGGTGCTTTTGCAAGATAGGTGCCATTTTAATTTGAACAACCTTGAGACAGCAATTTGTGTTTTATCATTTTCCTTTTGAAAATATTATTCTGACTAAATAGCCAGCAGCAATAAGGAGGGTTAAAGAATGGTACAGGCATTTTGATGTCTCTTAGACAGAGATAAAGGAGACTAAGGAGCTATTTTTTTTATTTTATGCTTTCCAGAATGTGATTGTTTTTTTCAGCAGGTGCCGGATACCCTGTGAGTAGGTAGTGAAGCAGCTTCCTGTCATAGCAAGATTGATATCCTTGAGCAAAGGCCCCTACTTTGAGGATGGATATAGACAAAACAGAGTTATTTTGGTTGTTCTTGCAGTATGCATGTTGTAATGATGATACTGCAGTTTGATTGTGCCTAGTTCTGTTTCCAAGGCCCTACATTTTCAAAATTAGGATCGGCTAGAGTCTGGCATTCGCGTTTTATGCCGCCTGGCTGGCTGCTTCTGCCCTGCTGCCTTGTCTCTGCAGCGGCTGGCGCCGTGGCCTGCGCACATGAGCAGCCGCCTGTCTGGGCCAGCCAGTGACGAGCATCCCGGCACACTTCGCGTCTCCAACACGCGTGGGTCAGGACAGGCGCAAGGACAAGGTGGGGTGCCGCAGCCCCCCGAGATCTGCCGGCCCAGGCCG